TCCCACTCTGTCGCCCAGGCTGGAGTACAGTGGCACCCTCGCAGCCACTGCAGCCTTGACCTCCTGGACTTAGGCGATCCTTCTGCCTCAGTCTCCTGAGTGTCTGGGACCAGTTAATTTTTTGATGTTTTTGTAGAGATGAGGTCTCGCCATGTTGCCCAAGCTGGTCTCAAACCCCTGGGCTCAGGCCACCCTCCCATCTCAGCCTCCCGAAGTGCTGGAATTACAGGCATGAGCAGTCGGGCCCAGCTGTTATGAGCTCTTAAAAGCTGTTTTTAGGAAGAACTGAGTGTGTTTGAGCGAGAAAGGACAGCACAACTGAGAGAGAAGATGAAGGCTGGTTAGGCAGACAGAGGGGGAGGGTCTCGAGAAGACAGCTCCCACGGAAACACCCCCTGTACCACCCCTGTTATATGATTGTGTGGCTAGCATGGTTAAGAACATCCTTTCAATCCAGGATGTTTTGCTAGAAGGGACTTTTTGCTGCTTAAACGTAGGCACAGTAGCTTAACTGGATGTCCTAGCTTGACCTTGGCTTATTATAATATCATTAACATAGAATTTACATTGCAGTTTTACAACCCCCCACCCCCGTGGGCTTTTCTGTGATGCTTATGGGTAATATTCAAGATGGAGTAATTTTGGTCAAGGACCTGCATGCACAGTAAGGATTGGGTCTCAGAAGTAAGGGGCAGATGAGGTGTAAATGAGAGAAACGCCTCCAGAAAAGGTAAGATAAACACAAAAAACCCTCCTAACAGTGGATAAACTGGTCTGGGGTCCCTTTCTCTTTCTAGAAAGCTTTGTGGCTTAATAAACTTCTGCTTTCACTCATCCATTTGGTGTCCACATTTCTTAATCTTTTTAATCTTCTCAAAACTCCTGCAACACAACAATGTGCAGGAGAAGACCTCTCAGGGAGCCAGAGGCGGCTGTGAGCCAGGCTGCAAGGGGTGCCCAAACCAAGGAAACCAGAGGTACGTGCATGAACGGTCAGCAGGTGAGCAGCCCCTCCAGAGTCTTGGGTGACATTTGCAACTAGTTAGCTCAGCTGGGCAGGGCCCCCTGTTCACAAGGCTGACATCATGGGTTTGACTCCTGTGTGGACCCTGAGCTCTACCTTTGTCCACGGTCCAAGACTGAGCTCCTAGCTTTGGCCAGGTATTCTGCAGATGTGTGTCACGGGTCACAAGAGGCATAAAGGGGCAGTGCGGCTAGATGTGTACAAGTAAACAAAGCTACCAACCATCATGGAAAAGAAGTGGAAATAGATGACCAACCTATCAAATAATCCCTCGTCAAGATGAAAAACAACCCAAAACGTGAGCCTCCATCGGGCCAGGAATACCATGTTTGTGTATAAAGAACAACAGGTATTAAGGGGCATGAGGGAGAACACCAATTTAGGCTTGGGGGTGTGTTCCTGAGCTAATAGGGAGTTTGCAGACTAACGAAGATGATCTGAGGGCCACAGAGAACCGCACCACTCACGGCACAGCTCCCTCCGCCAGTCCCTATTGATTTCTCAAGTTCCAACATCCTAGGAATTCTTCTGCTCCAAGTTTCCCGTCTGAAGGTTTGGCTCACTTTGAAAGTCAGCCATCTACATAAAGTCATCTCTAACTAAGCACAGCACCAACGTGCATCACAGAACAAATACACATTCTAAGGCGTCATGATAAATGAGTGGAAATCGTTGGCTAACCTTGGAAGTAGCCACTTGTCTACTTGCCTGGAATAAGTAGCATTTTATTCTGGGTGAATAAAACAGAGGAATTATGGTAGGGTTAAAAAAAGAAGAAGAAGAAACAAAAGGCTCAATTACAAGGACTAGAAATGGTGGCAAATATTTCCTGGTTTTCTTGAAGGGGTTTCTGAAGGAGAGAAGGATGGATGTGGGAGGAAGTGTCTAGCCTGTGTCACTACGCTCGTGGGTGTGTACCTTTGGGAGCTAGACGGCCCGAGAGCTAGAAAGGTTGAAGTGTCTACAACTTAACCCTCAGGGAAGTGACACTGTGCTAAAGTCTAACACCCCCTGGAAGGAGAGGGAGACGTTACACACTCCAAGAGGCAGAGAGCTTGACCGTGACCCGCTCAGAAACACTTACGGCTTCCAGAGAATGGTAAGCCCCATAGTTGAAGTTACTGCTCCTTCGTTCTTGCCCCTCATTGTGTTGCATTTCTTCATCTTCATTATCTAAAAGGGCCTAAAAATAAACAGCAACGTTGTGGAATGACCCACTGGAGACGCAGGTTCGTGTTTCTCCTGCCACGTCTGGGCACGTGGGCCGGCCAAGATGGCAGTCCCTCAGCACACGTCAGCCAGCACATGTCAAGGTCTAAAAGGCGGTCAGTTTTCTTTCCTATCTGGATAGAATCATTGTCTCCTGATACCCCATTTACCTCACTCCACTCCAAGCCCACTTGCTCACTGCAAGCAACACTGAGCTATTTGGCTTCTTCTGCAGAACGAATTCTCTAGACATCAGTCTGCATCTGGTTTCCAGTGTCTCTGAAACTCACAGCCTTGGGAAATCACTCAGAAACAAAGACATTCTTATGGCCACTCATACTTTGAAGGTTCCTGGCAGATGCCTGTGACATGTGAGCATGATTAATAAGCTCACAGCTGCTCATGCCATCAGGAGACTCCCCGGCCAAATCACCAATTAGTCCACAACCCACCTCAGGGAAGCAGAAAGCACGAGCCAGACACTGTCCTGATGCTCAGAAACTGGTTGTGAGGCTGGAGGACGGTGTTCCCTCTGCTGGGGGCTGCCGGTGACACCCCCCGTTTCTTAAAAGGTGCCCCCAATGGCTGCCCTCCAAAGCCCTCCCCGATGCTGCCCTTGCCTGCTGACTTCAAAGAAGAAAAGGAAGAGGGGCTTGAGGCTTCGTGGCACATCGAGGACGGGCCAGGCACACTTAGTCATGAGCACCACACGAAGCAGGGGTCACTTTCACCACTTGACTGATAGAGACACGAGGGCTTAACAGAGGTTGATAGCTTGTCCAAAGATGCAGTACACAGCACAGTCGTTAGTAATATCAGGATTCTGATGATCCAGAGCTGTGTGGTTCCCTGACCTGTGTACGCCCTTTCTTTCTTTCTTTCTTTCCTTCTTTCTTTCTTTCTTTCTTTCTTTCTTTCTTTCTTTCTTTCTTTCTTTCTTTCTTCCTTCCTTCCTTCCTTCCTTCCTTCCTTCCTTCCTTCCTTCCTTCCTTCCTTCCTTCTTTCTTTCTTTTTTGTCTAAATAGAGACGGGGTCTCACTCTGCTGCCCAGGCTGGTCTCGAACTCCTGGCCTCAAGGGATCCTCCCATCTCAGCCTCCCAAAGAGCTGGGGTTACAGGCATGAGCCACTGTGCCCTACCTGTACATGCTTTCTACTACAAAATGTTGTTTCTCTAGCAAGTCTCTGCACTTTACTCCCATGTACCTCCATTTCTCTGTCTGTGAAATGGGAAAGGACAAGACCAGAACGTGAAAATCTCTCGGGTCCACTCTGGACTGGCTGCTTGGTCCCAGGCAAGACCAGAAAGGAGCTGTGGCCTACTCACCTGCAGGTCCTTAATTGTCACTGAGTACTCCAAGCCCTGGGACTTCAGGAAGGACTTGACTGGTTGCAGACTGATAGATGGGACCAGGACATCCACCGGCCGGCCGAAGGCGGAGGGAGAGTTCCAGAAAGAGAGCTGAAGGGAACAGAGGTAAAACCAGGCTGACCAACAGCTCAGGTACAAGGCACAGTGAGGTCATTCTTCTAGAAACGCCACAAAAGCCACAGGGATCCCCGAGGGGCTGAGAGCTGCCCCAGGGCAGAGTGTGCCTATTTCACAACTGCATCTGGTCAGACCTGCCCGGCAAGAGGATCTGGCAGAGTCCAAGAAGTCACCACGCTGAGGTCTTTAGGAGGATGGCACCCACTGCTCAGCCCGCTCTCCTGAGCTCACAGGGGCAGCACTGCTGGAATGTCTCTTCTCCCCCATCAACCCTCTCTGCGTGTGAACGGCATGGGGACTGATATAGGATTCTACCCAGAGCATCCTCAGGAACAAAAATAATAGCATTGGAAGCACAAGAGTCTTCTCCCACCAAAGTCAGAAAACACTCAAGAGCTGGGCACAGTGCTGCCATCCCAGCATGTTGGGAGGCAGAGGCGCGAGTATTGCCTGAGCCCAGGAGTTTGAGACCAGCCTGGGCAACTTGGCGAGACCTCATCTCTACACTAAGTCAAAAAACTAGCCAGGTGTGGTGGCGGGCTCCTGGAGTCCCAGTTACTCAGGATTTTAAGGTAAAAGGATCACCTGAGCCCAGCAAGTCGAGGCTGCGTTGGCCATGATCATGCCACTGCACTCCAGCCTGGGCAACAGAGTGAGACTCCCACTCAAAAAAGAAAAGAAAATACTCAAGAGAACTAAGAGCCAGGTACCTTCAAGTTGTCCAGATTCACCAGCTGACTCAATTTGCTAATCTCGTCTTCATTTCTGACATTAATCCTAAAAACTTGGTCCCTGGAGAAGGAGAAAAAAAAAAAGCAAAAGATAACAGTGAGCTTTCAGCCGGCAAATAAACCCAAGCCTGTTGTCCCAGACGTCACTGGGCCAGAGAGGAAATGGTCTAGTCTTGGGTCGTAACGTATAGCCATTAAAAATAAGACTACGTGGCAAATGTGAAAAAGCACTCATGGTATAACTGTAAGGGAAACATTAAGTGCAAGAGCAGGGCCCAAAATTGTATGTCTGCCATGATTCCAAGTATGGAAAAAGCAGATGCATTGGAAGAGAAACAGACAGCGGAAATATAGCAAATGCTGACAGCCCTCAAGTCCGGGCCGTGGGATTACGGATGACTTACTTCTTTTCCCCCTCGTATCTGTTTTCTGTAACATGGGCCTATTACTTTATAATGAAAAACATACATATTTTCCGGGAAGGAATGTTCCTGAGTTACACGCAACACTAACTCAAGGCATGAAGAGGCACTTCTTCACTGTCAGGGCGACGGCTGAAAGCCTGGTGAGACCTCCACGCTGGGAAAAGAGCTGGAAGGAAGAACAAGTCTCCATTCTGGGGGGCCAGCTGTGGACCTCTTGGAAAAGAGAGGAGGGGGCAGGGGGCAGTGGCTCACGCTTGTCATCCTAGCACTTTGGGAGACCAAGGTTTGCATGAGCCCAGGAGTTCAAGACCAGCCTGGGAAACATAGCAAGACCTTGACACTACAAAATTAACAAAATAATTAGCCAGGCATGGTGGCACATGCCTGTCATCCCAGCACTTTGGGAGGCCGAGGTGGGAGGATCGCGTGAGCACGGGAGTACATAAGAGTCCAGCCTGGGCAGCATAGCGAGACTTTGTCTCTACAAAGATAATAGGAAATTTAGTTGGGCGTGGTGGCATATGCCTGTAGTCCCAGCTACTTGGGAAGCCAAGGCAGGAGGATCGCATAAGCCCAGGAGTACGTAGGAGTCCAGCCTGGGTAGTACAGCGTGACCTCATTTCTACAAAGATAATAGAAAAATTAGCCGGGTGAGCTGGCACATGCCTGTAGTCCCAGCTACTTGGGAGGCTGAAGCGAGAGGATCACCTAAGCCCAGCAGGTCAAGGCTGCGGTGTCCATGAGCGTGCCATTGTACTCCAGCCTGGGCGACAGGGTGAGATTCCAACTCACAAAAAAAAAAAAAAAAAGAAAGAGCCCTATGCAAATGCACATGACCAGGGAAACTACATGGCCCAGGGTGCTGAGGCTGGACTGGCAATCCGTTTCCCCCCCGGAGGCTGGAGGCTCTGGGAAGGGGCTCCCTTTGCTGTGTGCCCTGAGCTTGTTTCATGCACATCAGCAGCCTCCACTGCAGCGGCTGGGGCTAAGGCCCCCCAGTCCTGTGTGTGGGTGGGAGCAGCCAGCCTGAAAAGCCGCCTTTGTGTGCTCGGCAGGCTGAGGAGACGAGGGGAGCCATTAGACCGTTGCTAGGTGACGGCTCAAATGAATCTGCACTGGAGACTGTCACTGGCATCATCCCTCTGAAGCGGGAAAGCAGAGGCCCGGAGGCCCTGCTGATGGAGGGAGTGGCCCTGTCGCAGGGGCAAACGTGCAGCCTCACGTGGCCGCTCCCCATCAAAACACAGGATGGACCTTCAGGGTTTCGCTGGGTTCTGGAAGATTCTGGGGGCTCTCCAGAAGGCCTAGGCCAGCCCGAGAAGGTAAGGCCCACTGCAGCGCGGTCCCCGCTGCACGACCCTCTCCACATGCAAATGGCATGTGGACAGATACAGGATTATACACAGAGACTCTTCAGGAATAAAAAATAATAGCACTAGGAGCACAAGAGTCTTCTCCCACCAAAGTTAGAAAACACTCAAGAGTCAAGTGCAGTGGCTCACGCCTGTCATCCCAGGACTTTGGGAGGTGGAGGCGAGAGGATTGCCTGCACAATCGAGGTAGGGATGTCCTGGGCCGGAGGACACGCCAGCGCTGAGGGGACCCTTCCTCCCAGCCTGCTTTCCCCAACCAGGAGAGGCAGGGTCAGGCGCAGACTTCAGATGGCCTCGAGCACCGGCATGGCGAGAGGGGCTGACATCACCCTTTTAAAATTATTTCCTTTTAGATTCGGGGATCTTGGCACAGGTTGGCTACAGGGGCGTGTCACGTGATGATGGGTTTTGGGCGTCCACTAAGCATGTCACCCACATGGTGAGCATGTCACCCAGTTTGGGGTTTTTCAACCCTTACCCCTTCTCACCTTTAAGAGACCCCGGCGTCTGTCATTCTATCCTTACACCCGCGTATACCCCATGTCTAGCTCCCACTTACAAGGGAGAGCATGTGGTATCTGATTTTCTGTTTCTGCACTAACTCGCTTAGAAAAATGACCTTGGCTGCTTCCACGTGGCTGCAAAGGACAGGATTTCGTTCTTCTTTATGGCTGTGCATGTCCCTCACAAACACAAGCGCATCAACGCGGGAAGCAGGGGGCATGTTGTGGGAGCCAGGCAAAAGCAGCCTTTCCTTCGCTCCCACTGTCCCTGTCTCTGGCAAATGCCCGCTCCAGGTCATGAGAGTGTGAGATGGCTCATCATATCTTATCTCCCCAGTTGGGAAATTCACTCAAAGACCTTGAGTTCTGGCTGGGTGCGGTGGCTCACGCCTGTCATCCCAGTACTTTGGGAGGCTGAGGCGGGAGGATTGCTTGAGACCAGCCTGGGCAACATGGCAAAGCCTCATCTCTTAAAAAAAATAAAGAAAGAAAGAAAAATTAGCCAGGAGTGATGGCCCATGCCTATAGTCCCAGTTTCTCGGGAGGCTGAGGCAGGAGGATGGCCTGAGCCCAGGAGGTCGAGGCAGCCATGAGCTGTGAACATCATGGTTGCACCACGTACTCCAGCCTGGGCAACAGTGAGATCCCAACCTTAAAAAAAAGACCTTGAGCTCTTTCTGAAGATGGGGGGGGGCTTCTAAAACGAAGAGATAAGGGCCTTCCCAAAATAGAAAAAGAATGTGTTAAAGAGAAAGTGACGTTGGCATAGTCGATGTCTAAGAGCACATGAGTAAGCCAGTTACAACCCTGTGGCATAAAGTACCCGATCAAAAATGCAGGCCAGCTGGGTTCAGTGGCTCAGTCTGTCACCCCAGCGCTTTGGGAGGCCAAGGTGAGTGGATTGCCTGAGCCCGCGGGTTCGAGACCCGCCCAGGCAACTTGGCGAGACCTCATCTCTACAATAAACCAAAAATTAGCCGGGCGTGGTAGCGCGCACCTATATTTCCGGCTACTTGGAGGGAAGGCTGAGGCGAAAAGATCGCCAGAGCCCAGCAGGTCGAGGCTGCGGTGGCCGGGAGTGGTCTGGGCGACAGAGTGAGACTCCAACTCAAAAAAAAATGCAGGTCGCCATATGAGGGAGACAAAGGGGCTAAAATGTAACATAAGGCAACACCCCGCTGTGTTGGAGGCTCAGCCCTGAGCCAGCGCTGGCACAAATAAAACTGCTTCCTGGCCTTGGTGTCCCGACTCTCTCTCTGCAAAGGATCCTGCCACGATGGAAGTTTGGCCTGGGAGGGATCTTGCTGGGATTGGCAGGTGGCTGTGTCTGCCCCTCCTGCCCCACGCAGGCATCCTTACTGCTCCTCCAAACTCTGGCCCTCTCTATCAGCCAGGGCCGTCCAGCCACTGCCAGCACCATGGCTGGCAGCCCCTCCCCTTCCTGCACACCTGCCCCATGTTCTGGAAAGTCAACAGCCTCTTTGGTGGCTGAGCCCCTGTCCTCCCCTTCCTCAATGCTGGCAGCCAGGTGACTCATTCTCTGTGCTGTCCTCACCTGCCTCCCCAGCAAGCCAAGCAGCCACCATGAGATGGGTTCTCAGGACGCCTAGATGCCTTCCAGCTGCTGCTGGGGCTCCCACCAATTCTCCAGCAACTTCTTGCTCTCCCTGCCTGGGGCCTCCAGGCATCCTGGCTATTATCGCATCCTGGAGATGTCAGAAGACCTTGCAGAGCAAGGAAAATCGGGGTCGGGAAAGGGAGTGGCAGGAAGGGAGTCTGGTGGCAGAGAGAAGCCACCATCCTTACCCTCATCAGCCAGCCTAGGCCCTGCATGCTCAAAGGCCAGCTTCCTGATTCCCCTTGTTATAAAGTTCATGAGCGAGGTGTCGGGGCATGTCTATAGACGCCAGGAAGGATTTCACCCGCTTTACTGAGCGTCCTACTGTGGAGTGAGAACAGATTTTGGGATGAAGATGACACTTTCGGTTAAAACCATCCGCCATCAGACCAGGGGCGGTGGCTCACACCCGCCTCCCCAGAGCCCAGGAGGTCGAGGCTGTGGTGAGCCATGATCATGCCACTGCACTCTCCAGCCTGGGCAACAGAGTGAGACTCCAACTCAAAAAAAAAAGTGTTTTAATTAACAAATGAAACCATCTGTGATCAGCTCAGGCATACAGCATTTTCTGTGCGAAATCTCTGCAGTGAGCACACCAGGGCCCGGCCCAGCCATCAGAGGCCCTGTGCCCACCACATCGTAAGCGAGGCCTGTATCTGAGAAAGAGAGATTTCTCAGCCACGGGAATAGCTGCGGTGGGAACAAAACAGCCCCGTGCTGCAGCCCCCATGGCAGCAGACGTGCTGAGCTGCCGGTGGAAAAATCTCCCTCCCTAGCCACCTGCCCCTCCAAACCCCTTGGAGCTATTTGGCAGCGGAGACACAGGTGTGAGCAGAAGTCATCATGTAATGATTACCCAATCCCACATCAGTCAGTAACTACCCCGAGTCCTTCCAGTCAGATAATATAATAGAGATTAAACCAACTGGCTGGCCCAGGAGATAGAGGATTCTATTTTTTTCTCCCTCTCCCCTCCCACCTCCACAGACCCCTCCCACGAGCCTGCCCTCTTGAAGGGGCCCCTCCTGTTCTCTTGAGATACAGGATTCTCTGTCTGGAGGCTAACGTGTGTTGAAGCAAAGGGCATGAGTTTGACATCCTGATTTCAGCTTCCCTGATTACTAACTGACTGTGGGCGGGGTCTTCCACATTTCTTTTCTTTTTTTTTTTTTCTTAAGAAAGAAAGCAGGGTTTATTGTGAGGACAGAAAAGCTCCCATAATGGGAGGGGACCCAAAAGGGTTGCCCAGTCCTCACCATTTCTAAGGCTCGTTGTTGTTGCTTTCATGTTTAAATTGAGGAAAAGAAGTCGGGCACAATGGCTCACTCCTATAATCCCAGCACTTTGGGAGGCTGAGGTGAGGGGATTGCCTAAGCCCACGGGTTTGAGACCAGCCCGGGCAACATGGCAAGACCTCATCTCTACAATAAATCAAAAAATTAGCCAGGTGTGGTGGTGCATGCCTGTAGTTCCAGCTACTTGGAAAGCTGAGGCAGAAGGATCACCTGAGCCCAGCAGGTTGAGGCTGCAGTGGCCATGAGTGTGCCACTGCACTCCAGCCAGGGCGACAGGTTGAGACAAAAAAATAAAATTTGAGGAAAATAACACCCCTACCTGGAAAGTTGCTGCGTGATCCAAAGACAGGGAACAAGAAAGCTCTTTGCAAATGGCGCAGCCGAATGCGGGGATGAGTTCGGGTAGCTCAGTCTTCCAGCAGGGCGCCGTGGGCCCTTTCATCTCTCCCGCTTTCAATGTCCTCCCCTTTGCAGACCTCAGAGCATCCTGTGTGGTGAGTGTTGAGCCTGTATGTGTGTGCACCCATCCATACACACACACACAGTGCACAGGTCTGTGTCCCTGCATGTCCACTTTCATAGCTGTGATGAGGCCAGGCCTATTCAATACATCTGCATGACCCAGAAGCCAGAGACAGCACCAGCCTTGTACAGACTTCACCATTATCAGAGAGACCCAACCAAATGCCTGAGACCCGGGTTTTCCCTTTAAGCATGGCAGAAATTAGAAACAATTTCTAGCGACTCTTAATAATTAATAATGTAGGAGTAAGGAAATAGAAGATGCCTGGTTCCTACAAATAAGAAGTAGGAAAAAAGGCCAAATGCAATGGCTCACGTCTGTAGTCCCGGCACTCTGGGAGGCTGAGGCAGGAGGATTGCCTGAGCCTAGGAGTTCCATACCAGCCTGGACAACATGGCCAGACCTCATCTCTACAACAACAACAACAAAAAAGTCAAAAAATCAGCTGAGCATGGTGATGTGTACCTGCAGTCAAAAGCTAAGGCAGAAGGATTGCCTTGAGCTCAGCAGGTCAAAGCTGCAGTGGCCATGATTATGCCACTGAACTCCATCCAGTTTGGGCAACAGAATGAGACGCCAACTCAAAAATAAATAAAATAGGCCAGACTCAGTGGCTCAGCCTGTAATCCCAGCACTTTGGGAGGCCGAGGCCAGAGGATTGCCTGAACCCGCAGGTTTGAGGCCAGCCCGGGCAACTTGGCAAGACCTCGTCTCTACAATAAATCCAAAATTGGCCGGAAGGATTGCCGGAGCCCAGCAGGTCGATGCTGGGGTGGCCACGAGTATGCCACTGCACTCCAGCCTGGGCGACGGAGCGAGACTCCAACTCAAAAATAAATAAATAAATAAATAAATAAATAAATAAATAAATAAATAAAAAGTCATGGGGAAAAAAGATAAACAGGAGATTAGGGAGCTGGGGAGGGGTGGCAGTGACCCTCTGGTCCTGATTTCACAGATGCAGTGCTGAGTTATCATACTTCAGCTTCAAGAGAAATGACTTGTCCAAGATGACTTGAAGGCAGCGCTGGGACGAGAGCCCAGGTATCCTTCTCCCAGTACCCTACCCCGGGAGCTGTGACCAGCCGTGCTTTTAAAATGTCATGTGGCTCCCGTATTTCTGAAATAAGCAAATTAATAATAATGAGGTCCAAAAGGAACAACTTACCCAAAAAATTTTTCTCGGTTGCAGATGCTGGACCCTATAAGGGCCCCAAAGAAGAGAATCCACCTCATGTCCCCAGGGTGACAGTGGTGCCGTGGCAGAGTCAAGCTGCATTTATAAGGAGGCTGAGCCGACTCACATTCTCAGAAATGCTCATGTGAGTCCCAAGCACCCTCACAACTCTGCCCATGTGCCAGGCGGGCCCCACGGCTGCCTCTGCCATTCCTTTCCGGTGAGGAGGTTGCACCTCTTGGCCTCCAACGTCAGAAACTCGCTCCACAGGCTGGAAAGGTGTGTGCCAAGGACACCTACATTGCTTGTCACTTGGCATTTACATAGTGTTTTCTGAGTGAATAAGGAAGTCCCAGTCGGACTCGGTGGCTCAGCCTGTAATCCCAGCACTTTGGGAGGCCGAGGCGACTGGACTGTCTGAGCCTGCGGGTTCGAGACCCGCCTGGGCAAATTGGCAAGCCCTCGTCTCTACAATAAATCAAAAAATTAGCTGGGCATGATAGCGTGCGCCTGTAGTTCCAGCTACTCGGAAGGCTGAGACGGAAGGATCGCTGGAGCCCTGTAGGTCAACGCTGGGGTAGCTGTGAGTATGCCACTGCACTCCAGCCTGAGTGACAGAGACTCCAACTCCAAAAAAAAAGAAGTCCCAGGTGCTGGATGGAATCGATACGAATGGGATACACCAGGCTGCAAACCTGGGATGGAGTGACCTGCAGAGTGATGAAAGAGCAAAGACTATCACAGCAACCCTGAACCAGCTCCGAGACCTCACACCTGGCAAGCCCAGCCAGAAAATGTTCCTGGGGCAGGTCACCCGGAGGAGTTCCTTATGACTCTGCTAAGAAAATGGAAACATGCCAGGTACAAGTGGGATGTGTTCGTTTGAATAAGTTATCAGTGTTTCTCGGATCTGGACTACAAGGGCACCGGCCAAGTGAGGTGGCTCATGCCTGTAATTACGCACTTTGGGAGACTGAGGTGGGAGAATCACTTGAGGCCAGGAGTTCAAGACCAGCCTGGGCAACATAGCAAGATACCCATCTCTACAAAAATAATAGTAAGACTCTCTTACATATGCTAGACGGAGAGTCTGGTGTTCTTCCCACCAAGTCACAGCTGAATACATGGAAGAAACCCATGACATCCATGAGTTCTTCAGGGATTCGAGGATCTTTGCACCTGTCCTGGGAGTCCCAATTCCCACAGCCTTCCCCATCTTGCCCTCCCTGTGGTCCATGCATTTTCCATACCCGTCCATGGAGAGTGGACACACTAAGGGTCATGGTTGGGTGCATTTAAGAGAGATTATTCTGACACTCATAAAAAGAGTGAGGAAGATTATTCATGATTACAGCAATAGGGACCGTGATTTATTACAATTGGAGAGGCTGCCGGGTGTGGTGGCTCACATCTGTAATCCCAGCACTTTGGGAGGTGGAGGCAAGAAGATTGTCTGAGCCCAGAGATTCGAGACCAGCCTGGGCAACTTGGCAAGACCTTGTCTCTACAATAAATCAAAAAATTAGACCAGGCTTGGTGGTTCAGCCTTTAATTCCAGCATTTTGGGAGGCCGAGGCGAGTAAATTGCCTGAGCCCGCAGGCAACTTGGCAAGACCTCGTCTCTGCAATAAATAAAAAAATTAGCTGGGTGTGGTAGTGCACACCTGTATTTCTGGCTAGTTGGAAGGCTGAGGTAGAAGAATCGCCAGAGCCCAGCAGGTCGATGCTGGGGTAGCCATGAGTGTGCCACTGCACTCCAGCCTGGGCAACAGAGTGAGAGGCCAACTCAAAAAAAAAAAAAAAAAAAA